CCCTGTAAAGCTCTCTCGAATCTCCTAGCTCAACCCTACCCTAATCATTAGATCATTCTCATTGTATGGCCGGCTGCACTACATCTGGTTAGCCTACAACAGGGGTGGGCAAAATACAGCCTGCGGGCTGGATACAGCCCGCCAGGCCATTCTATCCAGCCTGTGGGGCCCCTAAAAATTAGTAAAATAAAATTTATTTGCTCCTGGCTGTGTGTCAAAGCTAACAGGAGCCAGAGGCCGTAGGACCCAGGGGGAGCCCTCATCAGAACTGAGCAGCCCAGTCCTGCCCACGCCCAGGCATTTCACTCTCTTCCTGTCCCTGACATGCTTTGGCACCATGTGGCTCTTGGCTCCGTTGCTGAACTGGGAAGCATGGGGTTGCACCAGTGTGTGTGTGTGTGTGTGTGTGTAGGCAGGGGCAGAGTGTCTGGGTATGCATGTTCATAGGGTGAGTCCCACAAGTACCCCCCACCATACACATGCATCCACCCCCCCTTGCACTGCCATACATGCAGACCCCCACACCCCCTCATACACCCAGCCAACCTCCCCACACACACAACCCCCCACAAACTCCATACCCACCCACACCCCACATACCCACACACTCACAGTCCCCCACAAACCTATATGTACCCCCCATGATATTCAAGGGTAAGACTTCATTTTAAGCTATTGTGCGATCACCTCTATGTACACTACACAAACACGTGTAAATCAGGCCAAAAATATTTTTCGAAATCAAATGAATGAATGCTGTAGGCGTTTGCTTTTTAGAATATAATCTGGCATTTTTCTGGTTCCGAGATGGCAAAACCCCTTGATGAAAGGAGTACTTCCAGGGTCAAGGGGAAAGACTTCAGGTGGCAAAGGGCAGGGGATAGGAGGTGGGACTTCCAATCACAAGATGACAACCAGGGGGCGTGGCCCCTGTCAAGTGGCGGGGCTACCCATGTGGCCCTTGACAGCTTGCCAAAACTCAGTAAGCGGCCATCCACGAAAAATAATTGCCCGCTCCTGGTCTACACAGAGCAAAGCTATCCTGCCTTGTACTTGACTTCAGACTAACACAGCTAACTAAATCCCACCAGTCTTGCTCCAGGCTTGTTCTTAGCTCCTAAAGGGGCAGACAGCCCCATTACAATCCCTTGATTTTCTACTGTAAGGAAATACCAGCTGTCATCTGTGTGGAAAAACAGCCAGCCCAATCCAGGAAATATTCACATCACTCTTCCTTTAAAAGGAACCTGGTCCTCCCTTGGAATAATGTTAGTTGAAATTCCCCCTAGTTCTGCAAGGAAATATGTTCCTGCCCTGATAACAACTGTCAGAAGTGCAGCTGCTCCCCTGAAAAATATGCATCAGGTTTGGGGCTTTATTTTTCATCTGTCTCCACAGCCTCTTTGGCTTTTATCTCTTTGTGGAACTACATCCTATTGAGAAATGTTTCCTTTCTGGATGGTATTTATTTCAATCAAAGCTACTGTCAGAACACAAGCAAGGGCCTGAACCACTGCTTTTGACAGCCACATAGATTTGAAAGGAGGCATACAAAGTCTTGGCTTCTAGGTCAGAGCCTCATTTGCCAATTAAGGTTAAGCCCAGAGCAGCTTTTATGACTGTCCTGCAAAAAAAACAAAAAAAAAAAAACAACCCAAAAAATAAAAAAAACCCCAGAAAATAAGGGTTTTAGATGAAACTGCTTTAAGATTCCAATAACAACATGATACATTCATCTACCAGACCCTCTGGAGCTGCTGACATTGAGATCATTAAAAGTGTCTTGGGGATACCTTCAGAGGACATGTTAAGCTCAGTCCAGAACCCTGAGCGTAAGGCATCCATCTGAGCATGAATAATCAGAGGCATTGTGGGTGGTCAGAGATCAGGGTTCACTTCCTGCCTTTGCCACTATGCCAACTCTGGGGAAACTCACTTCATTTATTCCTGAATTCTCCATTTATAAAATATACCTAATAATACTACTCTTCCTTATCCTCTAGTCACTTGTAAACTCATGAGGACCAGAGACTGTGTCTTACTATGTTTAGCGAAGTGCCTACCACTGGGCCTCAATGAGTGTGCTGAGCTGCAAGGCAGGACGAAAAGTGTTTCTTTATCTGTTTAAATGACAACAGATAATCCAGAGCCTCCAACTGGTGGCAGCCAAAATAAACCAATACCATTGCTCAGGTGGCATAAGATGATATTGCAAATATGAGAGTGATTTTAGTCCAGGAAAATATGTTGGTGTTCACCATTTCATTTCAAGTTCCAGTTCAGTCAAGTTCTTACATCTCTGCTTATTTTTTAAGTTGTTTTTACACCCTTTCTATTACAGGCGAATCCATTACTTAAAAAAAAAAAAAAAATCTTGTATCTATTGCTAGATTGTAAGGCAAAGAAGTTGGGGTGGGAATTGAAGTGGTTTCACATGCATCATAAGAAAAAGTTGTAGGCAATGTATGGTGACAAGAAATAGTGGCATGGTGCCAAAGATAGTGAAATGGTGACATTACATGATAAAGCTTGAAAGTCATAGTCCATAAGACAGCTGCCAGCGAGCACAGATATATGTTAGCAGCTCAGCAAGGGCAAAGATGCGGGCTATCTGAAACTAACTTTCTTTCCCTTTGGAAATTTTGATGGATGACACCTTTAGCATAAAGACCACATACAGGTTAGTTGAAACTTTCTCTCTCTCTCACCCAGCAGGAGCCCGTGGCCTGAAATGTTATAGAAAACATTGTTGTCCACTCTTAGATCCGAGGTCCCAGAGATGCCAAGTCCCCGACCAAAGGAATCCCAAACGGAGCAACCACGAATGTAAGAATCTGGAAATAAAAGAGTACTGTGAGAAGAAAGCATGAATAGAAATGCCAGGCTCCCTTTTTTAAACATGATGCTTTTGCATGAAGTATTCAGCTACTGATGCTACATGGTTGATCAAGCTAGCTCTGACATGTCAAAGAGATCAAGCAATTTAAGCCATCTGCTCGTACTTCATAGAGGTTTTTTGTTGTTGTTGGTTTTTTTTTTTTAACCAGCCTTCAGGTATTGCTACCAGGATGAATTTTCCTCCTGCAGAAATAACTATGAACTGATAAAACAGGGTGTTATGGTTGCACAGCATAACGATGTTTGAAAGTAGAATCATGCTATTCCAACAGGATATGGCAGTAGGCCTGCAAAGAGCCCATATTTTTCATAGCATCACCCCATTAACTGACATCATGTCACAACATGGTGACACTATGTGATTATGGCCTTCACAGAGAACTCTACAATGTAATTAGTTTTGCACAGACATGGAGGGGAGGGAGAATATTTGCCATCCAGTGGTCTTCAAAGCAACACATCAGCAGTACAAGATCTGATGACCTCCACCCCAGGGTGCTGAGGGAATTAGCAGAGGTCATTGTGAGACACCTGGCATGGCTTTGCAAGCACTCTTGGTGCTCTGGCGAGGTGCCAGAGGATTGGAAAAGGGCCAATGTGGTCCCCATTTTCAAAAAAAGGGAGGAAGGAGGACCCAGGGAACTATAGGCCTGTTAGTCTTACCTCAGTCCTGGGGAAGCTCTTTGAGAAAATTATCCAGGTGCACATCTGCGAGGGACAAGCAGGGGAGTGTATGCTTAGGGGCAACCAACACGGGTTCATTAGGGACAGGTCCTGTCAGACCAACCTGGTGGCCTTCTACAACCAGGTCACAACATCCTTGGATGCAGGTGTCACAGTGGATGTAGTCTTCCTGGACTTTAGGAAGGCCTTTGACACCATCTCTCACCCCATTCTTGTTAAAAAATTAGGAGATTGTGGTGTCAATGCCTACACAGTCAGATGGGTCGCCCATTGGCTGGAGGGCTGCACCCAGAGAGTGGTGGTGGATGGCTCATTTTTGACCTGGAGGGATGTGCACAGTGGGGTTCCCCAGGGCTTGGTCCTCGGGCCTGCACTGTTCAACATCTTCATCAGCAACTTGGATGAGGGTGTGTAAAGCACCCTGTTCAAATTTCAGATGACACTAAGATGTGGGGAGAAGTGGGCATGCTATAAGGGAGGAATAGGCTGCAATTGGACCTGGACAGGTTACAGGGGTGGGCAGATGAAAACAGGATGGGTTTCAACACTGACAAGTGCAAGGTGCTGCACCTGGGGAGGAAGAACCAGCAGCAGACCTACAGGCTGGGGAACTCCCTTCTTGTCAGTGCAGAGGCAGAAAAGGATCTTGGAGTCATATAGACTCCAAGGTGAACATGGGCTGCCAATGTGGGGACGCGGTCAGGAAGGCTAAATGCACCTTGTCCTGCATCCACAGATGCATCATGAGCAGGCCCAAGAAGGTGATCCTCCCCCTCTATGCGACACTAGTCAGGCCGCAGTTGGAGTACTGCATCCAGTTCTGGGCGCCACACTTCAGGAGGGATGTGGACAGCATGGAGAAGGTCCAGAGGAGGGCCACAACACATGATCGGGGGCAGCAGGGCAGGCCCTACGAGGAGAGGCTACGGGACCTGAACCTGTTCAGCCTCCGAAAGAGAAGGCCGAGGGGGGGGAATGTGGTGGCCATCTATAAACTGGCCAAAGGGGACCAGCAGGCAATGGGAGAGTCCCTGTTCCCCCAAGCACTACTGGAAGTAACAAGGAATAACAACCATAAGTTGATAGAGAGTAGATTCAGACTAGACATCAGGAGGCGCTACTTCACTGTCAGGACAGCTAGGATCTGGAACCAACTTCCAAGGGAAGTGGTGCTTGCTCCTCCCCTGGGGGTCTTCAAAAGGAGGCTGGATAGACAGCTTGCTGGGGTCGTTTGACCCCAACATCCTTTCCTGCCATGGCAGGGGGTCGGACTTGATGATCTGTTCAGGTCCCTTCTGACCCGACCAACTATGAAACTATTTACCTGACAGCTAGTAAGCTATGTGCAAATTAGCAACTCTGGTTAATTTATGATGGGCAATTCTTTACAAGACCAGTCAAAGTGTAACGCAGCCCAATGCAATTGCACTTAATACTGATGAAAAGTCAGTATTTCCTGCCCATTTCAGGATACAAAGAAGTTTGTCCACTGGCTGGCTGTCTTGTGGACTTGACCCACCTCATTCAGCATCAACAGAAAACCTCCTATTGATGTCAAGAGAATTGACTTGTATTCTCCTTTTGTCACAGAAATGCACTTGCAAGCCACAATAATGATGGGCAAACCTTAAAAGAAGGCTATTTCAAGTTCCAAAAAGTAAATAAATCCCATGACATTGCTAAAATTCTCTGCCAATCTATACCCACAAATGTTTTAAGTCTTCCTGTTCTTCCAGATGCTGCACTAGAAATAATGAAAATGGGCTTTCATGATATTTTAGGGCTTCTGTTTCCAGACCCTACTAAAGCACGTGGACTTAGAGCTGTAGCAAAAATGAACTATACTATTAATGTTTTAAAACTTCTTTTAGGGGTTGGGCTCTAGCAAGGCCAAAATGTGGATTTATTGTTTTTGCCAAACTGATTCACCCCTCTTTACTCTGAAACACATTCAGTGGAGAGCTAAGATTGGGCAGATTTTCTCAAAATCCACCTAAGTTCAGCTAGTAGAAGCCTGGTTTCTGGTACTACCTGGGCCTCTCTCTGCTGTGCAAGAGCATAATTATCTCACCAGTCAAATGGGCAGTCCCAGCAATGGTCAGGGCACTTAGATGCTGCTGAAATGCTTGGCCGACGTGCTGGAACTGGACCCCTTCCAAACGGATGTGGCTTTCTTCACCCTGGAAAGCCTGCATCATAACAACAGCACCCATCTCCTGGGACCCAAGCTGCTTCTCACTCCTCTTATACAGACATCCTGAGGCATCTGAAACACAGCAAAGAGAGTCTGTAAATGGCACCGCTCCACAGTGACCCCATGCTCTGTGCAGTCTTCTGCCACATCCTTCTCTGAATTAGAGCTGTTCATTTTTTGGAAGAATGTATATGGAAATCAGCAGGA